TATCACAAGACAACATCAAAACATTGGTTGATAGTTTAAAATGCAAAGGAAAGGCTGAGTACTTAAGTACTGTTTTACAATCTAATGATTGTCAACCAGTTTTGTTTGAAGAAACACACAATAAGCTTCCTTCTAAAAAACATTGCACTAAACAAGCTCCATGCAACCTAAATGACACTCATGTTCGAAACCAAACACTGAAGCAATTGGGACCCAAAAATATTGATTTAACAGATGTTCCTTCAAAACATAAAGCACATGCTGCTGGTTTGGAAGTAAACCATGACCAGTTTTTGGAAATAGAAAGAAATACGCGCGGACAGGCCTCTTGTGATAAGTGGCACGATGAAAAAACAATTGTATCACTGCCTCGAATTTTGGATTAGTGATAAAAAGAAGAAAAACAATTTTGCCAAAATCAATAATTAAAACACTAACAAGTAGTGCAAAATCATCCATCATGCCGTAAGCCTTGTACATGGGGAAAACAAAATGAAAGTGAAGCATTGAAACAGTATATTTCACATAAACAAAATTGTGTGAATGTCTGCTCATCCTGTGGTTTTATTGTTAATAAAACGTCACCTTGGTTGGGGGCCAGCCCAGATTTTCTTGTGCATGATGCTAGTGAACCCAATCAGTCGATCAGACTTGGAGAAATTAAATGTCCATATTCAAAATGTGATATGACTATAGATGAAGCTTGCAAGGACAAAAACTTTTACCTTTCTAAAATTGATGGTAAATTATTATTGCATTGTGGAACACAGCAGTTGACCCCTCCACTTTTACCTTTGCAGGCACTTGTGCTTGAATTAGCTTGCGTATTGTCTACATACTTTGAGGTGCTAGGCTCATCTCCCATTTTGCCAGATATATATTTAAATTTATATCTCTATATTTATATTTTAAACTATACTATTTAATAACCGGAATAATTTACCTATTCAATTAATTTAAAATACTACATTTAAAATGCTACCTAGAATATACTATAGAACTTATTTAAAAAATTTAGCTTAACCTACAATTATATTTTAAAAACCTGACCACGAAAAAAGGATTTTGTGGCCGAAATTCTCGAATTTAAGAATAAATTTAGAACGTACTTTATGCTGGCAAATATAGAAAGAAAGAACCAAGACTTCTACAAAGGTTTGCAGGACAAAAACAAGCAAAACTTTACACAACAAGTGAAAATACAACGTCGTAGACTCACTAGACTGACTAACGCAACTTTGACTGCGTTTGTTTACATTTTTCGCGCCAAAAATATGCAAAGCCAAGCAAGCCTAGATCTGTATGAAATAGTCACCGAATGTAGAAAGAACATGCCATGTTCAAAGCTCAAAAACTGACAGGGGAAGAAAAGTGTTAATAATTCTAAAAAATTGCAAGGTTTACCGATAAAATATGGGTGATTATTTCCATGTTAGAATAATGTTTTTATCGCGCATTGATAGAGTAACTCACCACTTGGAAGTGACTGGGAGCCTTGATTCGAAGGCCATTTTCGTCAAATTGGCGGTTCACTCCTTGGCATTTGAAAGGCCGTTTTGTCGTTTAAACTAGCCCGATTGCTTCTAAATTTAGATTTGCGTATACCTGCGACTCATATTTTTCGTAAGAAACGATTAATGTGACTTTCGTTTAGAAAAAGAGCTGAAATCGGCACGATTTCTTTCGGTAAAAATATCGCTCCTACGCTCATGACAACTAAAATGAAATTCAATAATCAACTACCGTCATGCTTAGCGCGCGTGCTGCTAAAAGGGGAAAGGTGGGAAAGGTCTATTTAGTCATTGCAATGCTATGCTAATATTTTGGTGTTCATTGACTGTGAAAACAATGAATTTCTAAAGAAATAAATAACATAAAATTTGCATAGCATGACTAAATCGTCAGGCTGGCTACGCCACTGAAGAAAACCGATTAGAAAATAGTAATACTAGATTGTTTAACACTGTAACAAGCATTGTTAAGTTTTTGCAAGTTTAATGCAATAGTAAATATACAACACCCTAACCCGTTTGCCGTTTACGTTCAGCTATGGTTTACCCAGAGGAAATGGTCAAACGGGTAGAAATTACAAGTAAAGACGCTTGTTAAAGAAAAACTGTCGCTATTTCACTCAAGCTGAACGGAATACGCTTCTTTAGGTTCAACTCCAAACCAAATTCCTAAAGTCAGCCATAAATCCTTAGCTTTTTCCACTTAATTCCGAAACTTGTACGCAAGTAAAGGGAATGAGAATGAAAAGCGACAAAAAAATTTTGCATTTATATTCAAAAATTTTAGATAACAACTAGAACATTAAACAATAGAATCGAATAAGCCAATCAAATACTTTTGTTTTCTCGTGATCAATAAAACTTTTCTTTCTTTATGCGTCTTTTTAATCCTTTCTATATTTCTTAGAGAAAAATAATCAGGATAGATTGGGGAAACCTTTAAGTTTCTATCCCTTATAAATCGGGGTTTTTTTCTGTGGACCGCCTTAATTCAGATATATACAGGGTGGGCCCCAAAACACCAAACCGGCATACATAATGTAGTTATTAATAGAAAATGACTGGTTCTTATAGGTTTGGTTTGTTTTGCGTTCACTAACACTGTTACAGTACAAAATATATGAAATCTCAGAGCCCCGGAAATGTCAGGTTTATTAAAAAGTATCAACATCCAATCTGATTCCAGTAAATAATAGTTTCAACGAATACATAACTATTAAAGCGGATTCCGTTGTTTTGGGGACACCCTGCAGTTTTGGAGATATGCACTTCTTTTTGAAAATTGCTGTCATTCTACGCGACGTTTTTGTAAAATCTTTTTGAATTAATCGAGGTTTGGGCCGCCTGTGTGTTAGAACTTTCAGTGCGTTATTGTTTTGATTTGTATGCAATTCTTGCATTAGCTTGGAAATTTTGCGAAAGAAACGTTTTGTGTTAACTTTATTGAGTTCATTCCGCAGACTGTGTTACTCTAAATTAAAGTTTCCGACAACTAAGCAGTTTCCCTTTTCGAAAAGGGGAACTGCGTAGTTGTGGACAACTAATAGTTGTCGACGGCCTCATTTTCTGGCGTTTTTCTAGTGTGTGAAAACCTTTGTTTTAGTTGTCGACTACTTTTAATCTCCGCGCTATTTCGGTTGCTAAATCAGTATTTGAGCGCCACTGTGTGGAATCCTTTATCGGACTTATTTAGTTGTCGATAACTTTTAGTTGTCGATCACAAATAGTCGTCGACAACTAAATCTTTAGTCTGTGGAGGCCCTTAATCCCAACAATCCAAAATAACACTGCAACGTGGGAGTTAGAATCATTTGTTGCAATTCTTGTTGAAGCTATTTTTTGTGCCCTTGTCAAAAACACGAATTTCACATTTTATTATTCAGATATGATAACAATTTCAGATCATAAATATTTTTATATCTAACTCCACAGGTCCATGTCAATGGAGTACTATCAAAAGGCATTTGAACTAGCGAAAAAACGCAGAGATGACCGTCAGGTTGGAGAGGCATGTCTTGGATTAGGATATGCTTATACTGAATATGCAAAGGATTTTCCAACAGCAATCAATTACTACGACAAAACATTGCAAATTGCAAACAAACGAAAAGATGAAGAGCAAATGATTAAGGCCTACCTTGGGCTAGCAGTTTCTTATAAACTGAATAACCAATACCAGACCTCGATTGAATACTATCAAAAAATCTTAGAGGTAACAAAGGCTAAAGAAGACACACAGCTGAAAGCGAAAGTCTATATTGGTTTGGGAGATGCTTTTCAGTTGAGCAATCAGATTGAAAAAGCAGTTGCGAATTTTACGGAAGCCTTGAACACTGCAAAGAAGCAAGAAGATAGTTTACATGAGACCGAGGCTTACATTTGGCTAGGTAATGTATATAGGTTGAATAATAAAATTCAACCAGCAATTGATAGCTATGAGGAGGCCCTAAAAATTGCAAAGGCACGTTATGATACGAGACAACAAACAGAAGTCTACTTTGGATTGGGACATGCTCATAAAATGAAACAGAACGTACAATTAGCAGTTAATTACTACAGAGAAGCCTTAGAATTATCGATCGAACGAAAAGATAGAAGGCAGGAAACTGAAGCTTATTTTGGCTTGGCAGATAGTTACCGATTAAACGATAAAATGCAACAAGCAAGAGAGAATTATCATAGAGCCTTGGAAATGGCGAAGAAACGTGGAGATATGCGGCAAATGACAGACGCACGCCTATGGTTAGGACATATTTATAAGTCGGAGAATCGACTTCAACTGGCAATTAAGGAGTACGAGATCGCAATGGAATTTGCCAGAAAGCAAGGGGATGAACGACAGGAAACCGAAGCTTTGCTTGGTTTGGGAGATGCTGAAAAATTCTCAAACGAAGAGGGAGATGGAAAGATGAGAGCAATTGGTTCAGACATTTCTAGTAGAGATGAGGTACAACTTGAACAAATACCTCAGATATCAGGTGAGCTTAATTTAATCTGGTGTTCTTGTAATACCAAGAACATTTCCGTAAGTGGGCCAATTCCGGCGAAGATCTTGATCGATTATATCTTTCTCTGAGACTTCACATATTTTAATGAAACTAGTCGTCAGACGAGCGCAACCGCAAGTGCCCGCAGACGCAAAGTGGACGCAAAATGCCCGCGGATTGGACGCGACCGCAGGCGTTTGTAGACGCAAATTACCCGCGTCTTGGACGCGGATTTTGATAAGTTATTTCTTGGCAGCTAGTATACGCTTGTATCTACAAAAAATTGCCTAACAGGAGTCTCTTAAGTACACGCTTCCTATTTTCGGTATAATATTATGCGCTAAAACTGATTTCAAAATTGTATAGTTGAACAACATTTGAAATAAAATGTGATTGAAATGTTTTCATTCCAATAGAGTGTTTGACAGTGCAGCAACAAGCTAAAGAGAAAGAATTGTCAGGTAGTGAAAATTTGGTTCGTTTGGAAAAATGCACCACGGGTATGGTTAGCCAGTCAGCCACATTGAAAGGAGCTTTTCGCAAAAACTTGCTGGAAAAGGAATGCCAAAATTTTGTACACGAAGACGGTTCAATATTAAACCTTACCAGCAGCCACCTACAAAAAAACAAATCAACTAAAATACCAGCAATACTGCTGGAAAGATTTGGACATTACATAAAATCAATTGGTCGAATTGCATGTGGAAAGGTGGTTGGAACTTGCTTCCTTGTCACCGATGAATTAGTGATAACTAACCATCATGTCTATGACAATATAAAACGTGAAAGATGTCAGCCTCAAAATGAGAATTTGCCCATCATAATTTCATTTGATTATTATTACCCGGGACAAACAGAAAATTTTGTCGACGTAGAGGTTGATGAAGCACAAGATCCTCAAATTGAGAGCAAAGAGGTTGACTATAAATTATTAAGAATGAAAAAGGACAAGAGGCTTGAGAATCGCGATCAACTTGGTGCGCTGATAAGAGGTCGTCCACTGCAGGAAAGACAAATTGTTATTATCGGCCATCCAGAAGGAAAACAACTTCATCATGAAACATGCGTTGTTGTCAGCGATCACTCGATTTCAGAGACACTAAACCAAAGATACAAAATGATTTCCGGTGATCCCGTGAGCGACCAGAAATCAAAGGAATTTTACGAGGAGTACAAGGAAAGTCTTTCCTACGATACAAGTCTTTTTTCAGGTGCAAGTGGTTCTCCTATATTTGATATGGATGGATATATTGTCGCTATGCACTCCAAAGGACACACACTGAAGAACCTGGCGGACGGGAAGACATATTCCCTGATGGAATTTGCTGTTCCGTTCGATATGATATGCAAAGACTTAGAACGTACCAAAGATGAAAACTTTGTTAAAGAAATCTTTCCTCACTACGATTTAGATCTGCGCGAAGTTCCAATGGATCACTGATTGTTTTCTCCGTTGAAAATAATGATTCACGCAGACACGCATATATCGGACAGTATACTTCTAAAGACACGAATAATTAAACGAAGGCTTGCTACGCCACTGTGTAACAGTATTCTAATGGTCAACTACCTTGATATAGTCAATGTGTGTATAACTTCAAGAAACAAACTAAATGTTTTTAACCTTAATTCAAAGATACTGTTTACAACTACATATTCAGTGCATAATATTTAAGTTGACTCATTCAAGAGAGATGTAAGAGTGTTATTTAAATTTGACTTATCCATCGTTTAAGCGAAACGGGCTTGATACAACCGGCCCCAGGTAAATTAATATTTACTCCAAGGACGTGAATATCAATAATAAACCCAATTCTAATAATAAACTCAATCATTTAATTCTGGCGAATATTTGTAGTAAACCATGATTTGCGCTATAGCAGGAAACTGAACGTTCCACTTGTAAAGACAGAACGTTTTTTCAATTTCTTTATTATTACAGCAAGTAGTAATCTATAAAACTCATCATAGTGCATTTATCTCTTGTATTTTAACATTCTTAACCTACTGTAATAATGGTGTAAAATTCACCATTTCTCATTAAATAATCCATCTATCAAAAGAAGAATAATCTATCTATCAATTAAGATGACATTAAAATGACGAATAAATGCGGTGATGCGACAACTTTACCTTTGATTATACGAATGGCATTCTAGTGGCAGCAAATCTAAGCGAAGAGTAAAAGCATGAAATCTGTTAAGAAAGCAATTATTCTGATATTTTTCATACAATATCAGCAATTACTAGTTTTCTGCCTTTCACGTGTAGCGCATGCGCGTAACTCAACATTGACGACATGATCCGCAACATTGATTTCGCAGTTCGTTCACTATACCCGGGTGTAACTGAATCTCCGGTCAGAATCAGTACCGTCGTTTAGGAAAGGAAGCACGCCTGAACTTGATCCAACACGGTCTGGTTGCTTGGTTGGATTTCGAGGAATATTTTCTTCAGTGCGATGATTATCAGGAGACACGACTATCTCAGCGGATTCTTCACTTGCGTTTACAGAGGAAGCGGACTTGCTGGAAAATATTTTCTTAAAATTCTCGTGTGTTTTTTTCTTCGGTTATTTTGGATTCGATCTCACATGAAAGTCTTCCAACATCGGATAACAGATCATTTTTATCGTTTTCAAGTTCCTTTATATGTTCCTCAAGACGGAGGATTGTTTCCTTGAACTTCAGTATTTCATTTTCCAAATGTATTTTCTCTTCTTTGAAGTGACTTTCTTTTTCTAGATACTCTTCCTGAAGTTTTTCAATGAGGTCATTTTTTCTTGTAATAACAGTTTTACCGACTCATTTCATTTAACAACTTTGATAATTATCAAATCGTCACCTAATTTGGCGCTTAGTGTTAACATTTCAGTAGAGACAATCGTTATCCTGCTGCATATGTATCTATCACACGATGGAATTTGTAAGTTAAAACCATTAATTTGTTGAAAAAGTTGATGTGCCCAAATACAGAATAGTCAAGACGAAACCTCCGTACGGTGGCACGGCATAATGGCAGGCAATTTGCGACCTAGGGTACAATACCCAAACCAGCGCGTACCTCCTCAACAAGACGAAGCTTATAATTAGGAGCTGTAACCAGAAATTGACCAACTGCCACAACAGATACACGACCAGGAACCGGTCGAAGGGCCAGCTCGAGTAGCCAGCCAAACTACACCCAGTTGTCGCAGAACCACAGCCAGCCGCTCACTGCTCAGCCACAACTAAAAGAAGAGCTTGAGGTAAGAATCTATAGTATTCGCCTTTTATATTCGAATTCGTGGTCGAACCTGAGCGCTTCATACGCCCTCGTGGTTTTTCAATGGATACCGGCGGATAGTTCCTGTGCTTTGGTAGATCTGCGAACACCTTACTTTGGCATTTAACATGCGATCATATAATGTTAGTAATGCAACTGCTCTATAGTCGTCGTCATTTATATCACATCGTATGTCGCCAATAATCTGAGACACATGAGTGAGACTTACTCTTTCACAATATCAATGACCGACGTTGATCATTAGCCCCAGAATTAGTGAAAATTCATCCTATAACTGGCGAAAACTCACCCAAACATTGCAGAATTATAACATACCACGTGTAACATACCACGCAATCATCAAGTTTCGCTACATTTTTGTTGCAGCAACCAATCACGAAGTAGAATCAAGTTCTTCTACGCTTTTCGCAATGATTGCGGCAACGCAGTAATGCTTTTCTAGAGCATTGCGCATGCAGTGTAACATCTCTCTTGCAACTTGTCTCGCAGTTGAGCGGCTAAGAACAGCGGTTTATTTGACTCGTGATTTTGACAAGCTCCCAGGAGAACAGGGCGTTCTCCATCTAGAAACAAAATGGATCACAACAAAAATATCATTGCATCATCAGACTCCTGTTATTAATTTAGTGTTATTAAGTGTTTAACGGAGCAACCACATTGAAAGTGCGTTTCCAAATCCTATAGTAATATATGCTTTGATTTACAGAAAAAATTGCCTAACAGAAGTCTCTTACCTACAAAACTTCCTATTTTCGGGATATACGCGCTAAAATCCAAATTATCATAGTTGACCAACATTTACATACATCATGATATATAAAGTGTGATTGAAATGTTTTCATTCCAATAGAGGATTTGATAGTGCATCAACAGGAAAACAAGAAAGAATTGTCAGGTAGTGAAAATTTGGTTCGTTTTGTGGAATGCAACACGGGTATGGTTAGCCAGTCAGCAACATTGAAAGTAGCTTCATGCGACAACTCGCAGAAAAAAGAATGCGCTGATAAGAGGTCGCCCACTGCAGGAAAGACAGAGTGTTATTGTCGGTCATCCAGAAGGAAAACAACTTCATCAGGAAACATGCGTTGTTGTCAGCGATCACTCGATTTCAGAGACACTAAACCAAAGATACACTGTTCCGTTCAATATGATATGCAAAGACTTAGAACGTACCAAAGATGAAAACTTTGTTAAAGAAATATTTCCTCACTACGATTTAGATCTCCGCGAAGTTCCAATGGATCACTGATGGTTTTTTTCGTTGAAAATAATGATTCACACAGACATGCATCGGACCATAGAGATTATAAATAAAACAAGAGGGGGCATCGAGGAGAAATTGGGGAGCGCGGTCAATATGGCGGAATTTTACATCTAACGTATGTTAGGACTTGAAATGCTTTAACAAGAGTTGAAATATCAACATTTTCGAAATTTGAAACAATTATTTAAACTTATGTGTAGCTATACGCAAAGTTTTTATTGAATAAACGCGAATATAATAATTATATATGTTGTAAGATATATGTAGCAGGTACTGTTTACCATCCAACAAGCGCAGTTGACTCCCTCGTGTTAGACTACCTTCTTAAAAGTATGTCATTGATTAAAGCACAGTACTTCAATAGTGGAATACTGGAATTATCCTACTCGGTGATTTCAACATGCTATAGACATGACTAGATTGAAAAATGACTTTAAGCTGAAAAAAATATATAATCAAATTTGCATGCATGCAACTCGGGGACAAAATAAGTTAGATATTATCCTTACTAACCTAAACCCTTATTAAGACACCCCAATAAAGCTCTCCCGATTTTGGCTCTCAGATCATGTCACAGTTAAAGTCCAAACTAAAGTTAAACCAGAAACCTACCAGACCAAGTTCTCAATTAAAACCTGAGATTGATAACCAACCAAGCGTCTGGCAATGTAGTTGCACTAGTACATAACAAAACTACGTGCGACGCTAAAGTAAATATCTTGGAAGAAGTGGTTACAACCGTTATGGATATTATCATTCCTATGTCTTCCTAAACAATCGTAGTAAATGAACCACCCTGGATAAACAGGTCTCTAAAGAAAAAGATCGTGCTCAGCAGAGGGCCTTCGATCCAGGGCCGTAACTAGAACGATAATTGGGGGGGTGTTCATTCATATATTCAGTTCTGCCCGACGGATTTCCATTGTGAGCTATTGCACTTACAAAAGAAATCTGTAAGTCTGATATCATCTGATATCTATCTATCTACCATGGAAAGTTAAATGAGAATGATCGAAAGCTTCCATCTTCATTATACTCTCATATTAATTAAAGGAGACTTATTTCTTTATGCCCTAGTTTGAAAATTTTTAAATCGCTAATATACTGCATGTTATGCGAAAAATTAAAAAAGACCCAAAAATTACGATTATATTGATAGCTTCTTCACTTGCTCTTCATTGCTTCCCGAAAATGTATGTTCTCCTCGATCTCTGAATGAATCCACCCAATCAACGTGCCATGCGCGTGCATGTTAAATTCCATCCAAAATCTTAATTTATTTACTTGCTCACGTGCATCATGTGGTTGATAACGAGTTTGCCACAAATTTCTGCCTTCTCGGGAATCTGATAATGGTTCAGTGACGTAAAAATACGATAATTACGCTATCGTAATGATATCAATGCATGTCCCAATCAGTCTAAAAATCTTCAGTTCACCCCATAATTCCAAGAGAGCAGAGTGATTTACTGACTTAAATCACCTTGTTTTTATTGTTTGTTTTCTAACTGGTTTTCTTTGAAGTTTGTGGGCAAAACTTTCTCGACATATTGGGCAGCGAGTCCTGAAAAAAGAATGAAAAGGGTTGAAGAAATAGCATGAAAAAAGACTCTTATGTCACCTCTCACGGTCAACCGTATAATTACATCATTCCTTTTAAAAATAGTAATGAATGATGCAGGCTATTCTTAGCAATTTGATGTTAAAAAGAGCTGCAAGTAAGATTTATAATTTTCACAAAATTGTGGCAACAGTTTTCACACCAAAACCAATTTCCATACGTCAGAATGACATTCGTATACAACTAAACGTAGTGTTGTTAAAGGGGACTTTTTGCCAGCAGGAAAGTCGTAACTATGAGGGGTATATATTATAATGTAACCTTCAGCTTACATTCCGTTTTGAATCATTAACTTGGAGCATTCTTTATGAACTTTGTGGGAACATGGCAAAATTTGACATCCCGTAAACGCATCCTGCAAAAAAATGAAGGACATTTTTAAAATGTATTGATATATTTAATTACACGAGAGTACCCAAGTTTCCCAAGCTTGTTTCACTGAAATTAATAGTAAATTGCACGGGTTTCTTAAAGCAGAAAACCTAAACTGAAAAATGATGTCCGGAAACAAATTACTGTGACGTGAAGTCATGAAGGAGGGTTCAGATTTTGCAAGTAAATTTTAAATATCGCTTATAGTTTTATACCTCTAGACAGATACCACAGTTGTCATGAGCGGAATCTGGACGACATTTATGATTTCCTCTGAGCTGAACATCAAGACAAACACCACAGACGTCGCAATGAAATGAACGATCTCCGTGGATTCTGCAATATTAAGTTGTCATGAAGTCAGTTGAGACATCGTAATTAAAGAATATAATTATTTTTTAAGTTGATCTATAGAGTTAACTATATAGCAAAAATTCCCACCTGCAAATTCCACATTTCTCGCAATGATAGGGATGATCATCTCTTCCAGTAAGATGTTTGCAAAGACCACAGTAAAAATCAGCGAATTGACTGTTACACGAAACACAAAATTGACCGAACTATAAGAAGGTAATGGAGAAAAATTGCTATGGAAAAGTTGCAAAAAAATATAGGAAATTCGAGGCTGAAAAAATTAAAAATCCTCAAGCGGGGGAAATTTTCCATATGAAATAAATTAGCTATTATGCTATTGTTCATTACCTGTTGCTCTTTATCGCATTCCATGCATTTTACCATCGTCGTATCACGTGATTTCAGTTTCTTTTGCTGACACGTGCTCGTCTCGTTGTGGCAACGATGACAAGCCCAGTATTTATCACAACATTCAAATTTCACCATGCAACGTCTTTTGTAGTGATTACACAACCACCTATCTGGTTGTTTCTTCACATTGTTTGATCTCTCAGACCGACCATTTGGATTATTTGATGTGGATGGAAAATTGAATTGTGCGTTTTGGTTACGGGCACGTGTTCGGTGCTCTTGATGTCTTGAATTCTCTGTAGTCCCATTGCTTGCTTCTCTTGATCTACTTTCGTTACCTGAAAATAATTGCAAAAATTGTAGCTTTATAAGTTAGTTATTCTACATCGGTAGAAATAGTGCCCAACTTTGCTTAATGGTCATTGATTCCAAAGTGGCACATCTAAAAGCAACAAAATTTTGGAGTAATTGTGAAATTAGATAAAAGTTATTTCAAACCAACCTCTTGCTGTATCTCTTGCACGGCCATTAGGGACATCTTCAAGCGTGCACAATCTATTTCGTCTTGAGACCGCTGTGCTGGGCTTCTGATGATGAACATTGGCTATGTCATGTTGATTACTGACAGGAGGCATGACCATAGTGTCTGTACGAACAGGGGGGAGGTTTTGTTCAGATATCTCTCGTTGAGACGGAATTCTACGAGATGCGTACGCCCGATTTACTTCCCGTGTGCTGCTCACGCTCTTTTCCTTAATTTTAACAACATACCTTCTCAAATTAACATAGTTTCCGCTGTTGTATTCATCGATGAGGTGAACTAAATCAATTCTCAGAATTGACTTGAGGAATTCGCGAAGCACGCTTGTATTCGATATGTTGATAACATCTTTTCGGTCCAATTGAAGAATGACTTCGGTTGAAGTAAGATTCGTTGCGACTGAAAACTGTTCATGAGCCCAATCTTTTAGCTTCATGACATCACCGGTGAGCAAACTATTGGCAACGGCTAGCAATAGTTGTTTATATGCATTATGGACTGAAGATATGGCTGACGAAAGAGATGTATTCCCTCCATCAGCAACATCTGTTTCTTGTATTTGGACTGGAAAACGCAGCGGTTCAGATGAACCATTGCTTTCATTTGAAGGGAGCACACCTGAACTTGATCCAACACGGTCTGGTTGGTTTTGATTTCGAGGAATATTTTCTTCAGTGCGATGATTATCAGGAGAGACGACTATCTCGGCGGATTCTTCACTTGCGTTTACAGAGGAAGCGGACTTGCTGGAAAATATTTTCTTAAAATTCTCGATATCTTTTTCTTTGGTTATTTTGGAGTCGATCTCAACCGAGAGTCTTCCTATATCGGATAACAGATCTTTTTTATCGTTTTCAAGTCCCTTTATATGTTCCTCAAGACTGAGAATTGTTTCCTTGAACTGCCGTATTCCACTTTCCAAATGTTTTTTTTCTTCTTTGAAGTGACTTTCTTTTTCTAGATACTCTTCCTGAAGTTTTTCAATGAGGTCATTTTTTTCTCGTAATAACTGTTTTACCGACTCATTTTCATTTAACAACCTTTTATTTTCCAATATTAAATCTTCGCTTAACTTAAGCTTATTACAATAATCTTCGGCCCTTAGTTTTGGCATTTCAGTAGAGATAGTCGTTATCTGGTTGTATAATATGTATATAACACGCGATAGAATTTGTAAGTTAAAACCATCAATTTGTTGAGAAAGTTGATGTTGCGAAAATTTCGTTAATTGCCCCTCTTGTGCAAGTTGAATGGATATGATGTGTATAATGCCCTTTCGTATTTCTAACTTCAAAAACCTACTTCTTTTTCCGGAATGCTTAGCATCAAAATTGAGCATCTCCTGGCGACTTAAGTATTTTGTTAATACTCCAGGAAAACTGCTGTTTTTCGAAAATTTGCGTAGAACACTATTAGAAACGCTTGGCGTGAAGTTCATGTCCTTCAAATGATAAGTGACGTCCTGCCCTTGTGTTTGAGCACATGTAGCTTTATCATCAACTGGGTCTCTTTCAAATATCTGACTGGTAGATTTGCGAACAGTGCTCCCCATGCTCAGTAAAAAGTATTCTAAACGTGAAATAAATAGAACGAATATATACAATTTATATGGTTTTTAAAACGTAATTAATAATTTTACCTAAATTTTGCAAAGCTACAGACAGCAGAGAAATAATTTAAATAAAAATACGTTCGACTAGGCAAATGAAATTGCGTTCCTGCCTGATAGATAGAAATATCGCATATCACCATGCATGCTTCTTAGTCGTAGTCTTACTAATAAAGTAACAAATACTAGATCACTCTTTAAATTCCTATCTTCTTAAATTAATAATATCTTTAGCTTTAGGTGGTGGGTAAACCTTTCCAATTGCTATTTGGTTGATACTGCTGCTATTCACAACCCTTGCACTGATGATATGCACAGATATCATAAGGTCAAGTATGTAATTTAAAATGCATCAGGTATAGGCTAGAAAAACACAGGAGATCGAGGAATATGCAGGAACGGGTAACCATTCTTCTCGGTTTGTCAATCGGTCACTCAGGTGTCTGTCCAATTAATAAATTGGAAAACGAGTCCGAGTTATCTATGAGCGAATAGTCAACGACGGAGAAGCCTGAGTTGACTATTCGCTCATAGACAACGAAGGCGAGTTGTTTATTTATTTTAGTATACACCCTGTACCTACAATCTTGGAAAAAATATTGGGAGACTTTTTTCGAAGTCCAATCAGATTTCCAGTTATGTACAGCAAATGTACCAATTCTCTCAACTAAAAGACAAGTTGCCATAAATTCCCCCCCCCCTCCCCCAATTACAATGTTGTTCAGTTTAATGACAATTTGGAAGAGATACAACACTAGTTCAACATTGTAATGGGGGGGGAGGGGGGAGGAAATATCAAAATTAGGAAAGTCTACGAATTTTTTTCCAGGATTGTCTGAAGAATGGGAAATAGCTAAAAGTTTGTAATGGTAATTAGAAATAAATTTGAAACTATAATTCCACAATTTTGCAGTGATATAATCGTGGCAACTACTTTTCGGTTGCAGTAGGCATTTTGGGGATGATGGAGGAAAATCGGGGGGGGGGGGGACGGTTAATTTGCGTTCAATTTTCTACATAAATGATATTTTCTAAAATGAGCGTTTTGTATACGTTTTGATTTTACTGGCATAAAAGGTCGCGAGTTGGCAATATTTAAAAAAACTCTTATTGCAATTTCTTATTTTATGTATCTTGTACTTTAGATGGTTAAAAAAACTGCCAAAAAGGTGTCTTTGGCGCATTCTGCTCAAATTAGGGCGGCATATCAGCTTTCAAAAGTCCGCGGGTCGAGGCTTTTAAAAATGTTTCCTCAGTACTCTAAAGCTGCTATATATAAACATGCCAAGAAACCTTTAAATGGTGAGCCTGTTTTTGATAAAAGAAGACAAAATAAAGGAAGACCAACAAAGTTATCCCCTCAAGACAAAAGGAGTGTGGTACGCTCGTTAAAAAATCTCCGAAAGAATGAAGGTTCGTTTACGTCCAAGCGTATTCAGCTGGACAGTGGTTTAAAGCATGTAACCAGCCGTACGGTACGGAATCATTTAAATGCAGAAGGCTACTGGTATTTACAAACAAAAAAAAAGGTCTTCTTCATGCCAAGGATCTGAAATCTAGAGCCAGTTTTTGCAGAAAGATAAGAAGGCAACAATTAGGTGTCGAATTTTGGAGAACTGGTATATCCTTCTATTTAGATGGGAAAGGATTTCAGTACAAACGTAATCCTTACGACCAAGCACGTGCACCAGGTGCTCGAGAATGGAGGAAACGGGGAGAAGGTTTAAAATTCAATTGCACAGCCAAGGGAAAAAAGGAAGGTGGTATTAATGTCAATTTCATGGTTGCTATATCTTACGGCAAAGGCGTTGTCTTGTGTGAGCAATATGATGGAACGATTACTGGGAATAAGTTTGCCGAAATTGTTAAGTCATCTTTTCCCGAAACATTTAAAAAATCTTCAAACCCAAAAGGAAAACGATTCCTCATGGATGGATGCCCAAGGCAAAATTCCAAGATGGCAAAGCAAGCTATCAAAAAAGTCGGTGGTTTAGTGTTTAAAATTCCTCCTAGAAGCCCTGATCTTAATCCAATTGAAAATTTTTTTCATTCGCTTACTGTTCGTTTAATCAGATGCATTTTGAAAAACAAATCGTAAACGAACATTAAAGAACTGTCTAATCGGGTCAAAACAACCATGCTGAATTTCAGTCCTGAGGAAATTGATAAAATCATTGACAGCATGGATGGAAGGATTACGGCGGTTATAAGAAAAAGGGTCAAAGAACCAAGTACTGAGTGGATAGTTTAAAATGTCATTTATCCTTTGTAGTCTTTGACAAGAGTGTTGAACTTTTACCAGTGTAAATAACTCAGCTAATTGCACATTATACGTGCTTTAATGCTAATTTTAACTCATGTATAACTATTATGCAGAAACATTTGCTTTTTATAAACTTTTCCATGTAAAAACTAATATTAGTTCTAGCAACACTCTAAGCATACAAGGCTTAGACTAAAATTATCGCATGTTACATCATGTTACACTGTGTGTTACACAACGTGTTACACCAAAATTACTATATTTTACTATAGTTTTTGATATGTTACAACATGTTACACCTACTTTTTAAAGAAACTATAGTTATTTAAAGACTAGGTGTAACATGTTGTAACATGTTAAAAACTATAGTAAAATATAGTAATTTTAGTGTAACATGTAGTGTAACATGTAGTGTAACATGGCGTAACATGTATATTTTAGACTTCTTATAAAGTGTATATAGTATAAAGCACGAAAGTAATGGTTATTAAATTAATGTTTCTAGTCCAAACAGTATCTCACACACGAGAATTAAAATAAACACAACAGTATCGTAGACTCCATTGTTACCGTTAGCGCTTACTAACAGAACAGCTTATGAAAGGTGTAAGTTTATAACGTACTCTAGTTTATTTCACCTAAGAGAGCAAGCTCAGCAAAGCATTTTGCACAGGGTGCCATATCTTTCTGCTGGCTTTCCGGTATACCATATGAAAAGTAAAACACTTTCCATCTTGACGCCATCATTGCGTCCTCATTTTGATCTTCTGAGTTGTAATTGCCCCTGTACTTAATTATGCACTTTGAAGTAGCGAATACCGGAGTGTCCTTATCGATACAGACATCGGCGCTGAAGTGGTTTTTTGGAGCAGGTAGTTTTACAACGTCTCCTTCCAACAGCAACAACAAGCTCTTCCATTCAATAACCTCTTTGCTCCATCGAAAATCATTCAACAAAATAATCTCGGCGGTGTCGGCTCCAACCCAAGCGTATTTGTCGGCTGCAGGGTTTAAGAATGTCTTAAAAATTAACTGCAATGGCTTCAATAGGAATGTTTTGCCACAGTTCGTCGGGCCAACTATAATAATATTCCTATGTTTTCCTCTTCCCAGCAACAGTAGGGAGGTTAAGATCTACTTCCACTACCAGTACCGATACAAAAATACATGACGTATTACTGTTTGGCAGCGCGGAAATCTAAAGCGTTAAGATTGTGACTTCCGTAAGAAGTGAATAAACATGGCGGAGTATAGCGGCTGTATTCACATCAAAAACTCTAATCACAATCCTTAAGTCTCAACAAACAAAGCAGAAACATTACACAACTAAAAACTAAATAACATTATTAGAAAAAACTGCAGGAAATGTAATAATACAGTAAATATAATTCGGTACTTCGCCTACCTATCGACTTCCATTTTCAGCCCCAAAACGGTACTCGCGACTTCCAGTGTTATCACATTTTGGACGATTGTTACGTCTGCGCATGTGCGTGACGGAATATTGGTATCGGTACTCGTAGCGGAAGTCGATCTTAACCTCCCTAGTAGCTCTCTCACAGCAGCAGCAAAAACTATCGGATGAACTTTATTATTCATAAGCACTTCGTGAGCACTTTTTAACCATCGGCCTTCACAGGTCGTTACACATTCGCCACTAGCTGCTTTCCGTATTACGTCAATTCGTGATTTCTTTTCTCGTTCTAGGGTCGAAGAGGCGTCATTCATCTTCCATGTTTGCTGGATAAGGTCGTTAAGACATTTAGAATTACGCGACAGCACAAAATCTGCGAGATCTTTCTTTCCTTGTTCGCGCCGCTCATTAGCAATCGCTAACAATTTGGTCTCAGATTTAATCCCTTCGTTGACTAGAAATTCAGCCACTTCTAAATTCGACAGCTTTTTCTTTCTTTTCGAAGCTGTCGAACATTCACCAGCGTTGTTCAACGTTGAACATTGCGTTTTCTCACGGCGCCGTTTGGCATATAATTGTTGACATCTCTTGGTTTTGGGAGAGCCAATTTCCTGCAGGTTTGGGTGGCCTGTGCTGTGATAAACCGTATCATCGCATTTGTTTACATACTGATACGCGCTGTAGTATCCATCGTGGTCAGAGAAATTGACATTATACGGTGTTGTGCTTCAAGACTTTTTTTGGCTTCCAGCCATCTTTTGGGACCACTAAGCTTCAAGGCTACGTGGTAATGAAGACCACCATCTGAGTGCTTTTCTAAGCAACATGCCCAATGTTGTGGAACGACTTTGCTGCGGTTCGATGTAAAAGCCGCGACTACAACTTTAGCAAAAGATTCCCTTGAAGGAAATTTCTTCAAATCCGCTCTACTGTAAGTGACCAAATATGTTCGTCTTGGTTTAGATTTATCAATTTCATCCATTAAACTTTAAATAACATAGCAAACTCGTGAACAAATAGTTTAAAGTTACCACTCAGAATGCAAAACAAAGATCGCACTGAGCCTTCTACATGGTGGTGAGACGTTATGTAATATTTATATAGACATGTATCCCCCCTTTATAAACTCTAGCTCCCCCCCCCTAAAAACGCAAAAACTTGTATTTACGGCACCCTGGCATCTCACACTTAAAAAAAAGACCTACACAGCAGAACTTTATCATAAACAACGAATAGGCTAGCGAAACGTTTTTTAACTGAATATTT